TCAGGTCAATCAAAATAGCCCAGAAACTCGTCAAATCGATCAAAATAGCCGAGAAAATCGCCAGGTCGATCTCAGAACAGCCCAGAAACTTGTCAAGTTTATCAAAAAACCCAGAAACTCGTCAGGTCGAACAAAACAACCCTGAAACTCGTCAGGTTGATCAAAGCAGCATAGGAACTCGTCAGGTTGATCAAAGCAGCCCAGAAACTACACCCTGGAAGCAGCCTTGTTTCATCACCATCAACCAATACGCCACTTTACGCTCGCGGTTTTAGTCCCGTGGATTAAATTAAGATGCATCGCAAACGTGAAATGGAGAATTCTTATGTGGTTGTATATGTAGAATAAGACTTTCCGGAGTAAGCATTTACAGCTTTTTTTGATCGAACAACAAACCACGTGTTTTGCTCCTGCTTATTTCATCTTTGGCGCATGTCAGAGTTGAAATCAAATTGCGTCCCCGTCTATTAATGCTTGCATGAAAAGGGCTGTTGCGCTTCTTTCCTAAGGTTTTCCCAACACTGGCGAATCCCAGGGAGAGCGCGACGTGACCCCACCCGAGGCGGTGGAGAGGCGTCGATCTGTCCTGAAGATCTGGTTTCCGAGGTTTTACGATCTGTCCCGAAAATCTGAAGTTTCCGGGTAGCCGATGCGGCATTCGGACCCTCCAAAAGATTCGCTGTTGGAGTCTCTCTCTCTCGCAGACTACGTCCTCGAGTTCGCAGAGGGTGGCTCCTCCTGTCACACCAACTTGAACGGGACGGCCACGGCCCACAGTAGCGCGCTGTTGACTGGTGCTTCGCGAGGATCCGATCAGTCGTTCGGGCCCCGGTCCGAGCTGCCCACGATGGAGCTGGTGCTACCGCTGAGAGCTCTCGAATGCCACCACTGACAGATACGACGTTTAGGGAAGGGGCAAACGGCCATCCCATCCAAACATCGAAAAAGCAGAGCCCTTTACGGTAGGGCGTATTGTTTGGGTAGCTACGTCCCCTATAAGCATTGTTCGCGAGTTGCCCTCCTCCCCACTCGACGACCTTCCATCCGTGGCTCCTCAGCCTGACCGGGCAACAGCTGGCTGGTGCAGACGACTCTTCCGTCCGTGGCTCCTCAGCCTGACCGGGCAACAGCTGGCTGGTGCAGACGACTCTTCCGTCCGTGGCTCCTCAGTCCGACCGGGCAACAGCTGGCTGGTGCAGACGACTCTTCCATCCGTGGCTCCTCAGCCTGACCGGGCAACAGCTGGCTGGTGCAGACGACTCTTCCGTCCATGGCTCCTCAGCCTGACCGGACAACAGCTGGCTGGTGCAGACGACTCTTCCGTCCGTGGCTCCTCAGCCTGACCGGGCAACAGCTGGCTGGTGCAGACGACTCTTCCATCCGTGGCTCCTCAGCCTGACCGGGCAAACAGCTGGCTGGCGCAGACGACTTTTCCATCCGTGGCTCCTCAGTCCGACCGGGCAACAGCTGGCTGGTGCAGACGACTCTTCCGTCCGTGGCTCCTCAGCCTGACCGGGCAACAGCTGGCTGGTGCAGACGACTCTTCCGTCCGCGGCTCCTCAGCCTGACCGGGCAACAGCTGGCTGGTGCAGACCACACTGGCCGGCTTAATTAGGTCCTCTCCTGGCGCTGAGAGCTAATGAGCTGACACCGATACATACTTGTCCGAATGGATCGGTGACGGTAGTCGGACAGCAGCAGGGGCGGGGGGCCAGAGGAGGGCCGCCACAGTGCAGCCGACGGGGGCTATGATGGGGTGTTGCCATTGGCTTCCCACACTAGCAATATCATGCTCAATCGAGGATTGGAGCGTAATGTGCTTAGTTGGGCACGCAGAAATGCGACAGCGGTGAGTTTTCGTGGACAAAACAAGGCTGTGCGTAAAACAGCAAAAAATAATGCTTGTTAAGGCAAGCATTTGGGACTTGATTTTTTGGGGAGTGGGAGAATTGCGCTGATATTAACAAAATCAATTTTTCTATAATTCAGTGAAAAAGAGTTAAGTATTGTTTTCCCTCGGAAAACCTGTGAATAACCAGTGTTATTCAATCAATCCTCACTTCTAAATGTCAGCGTAGCATCACTGTACGGTCGTGGATAGAGGTGGGAGCACGAAAAAGGAACTGATACTGTTTAAACGAATGTGCATACAACCCTCTGGCCACACACTTTTGCAGTAACCAACACTTACCTTCAGGGCTTATGAACGCATCTGGAAGATCGTAGGAACTTTCCACAGCGAAGCTGAAACGTACAATCCAAAACTGTCATATAGTTACGCTATACCTCTCCACGCAGATAGGTTCTCACCGCAAAGGTTCTCACCTCATAGACACGGGACACTTCAATATCGGCCGGACATCGAGCTCAGATGTCCGTCCAAATACGGATGTACCGTTACGCTTTAGTCATGCAATGTGCTGACGTCGGAGTACTTGGAATGTGGCCATTCAATGCAGGACTAAACAAGCCATCTCAGATAAGATCCGACCGCAGATCAGATCGTAGGTCAGATCGCAGGTCGGATCGCGAGTCAAATCGCAGACAAGCGCAGCAGTTCAATTGATTGCAACATTTAAAAGCAGCTCAAACAAGTCGTTTAATTCCACGCGTAGCTGTAGCACAGTATCTCTCGTCTCACTGGATACTGCCTGTTTTGTTTCAGGAGATGGTCGCAATGCGATCCTGGTTTTCTTAAAGGTCTCCATCAATCTGGCCCATTCCGGTTCGGGCCCGCTCCTCCCCCACCCGTCGGCCATTTGATCTGGGAACCCATTGATCTTTCGCAGCTCCTGACATTTCATGACAGACGTGGGTTCCGTTTGACTTTCTGGAGGACACTTCGACCACCTTAACAGCCACCCATCCGTCCAGACGTCATGGGTGGAGCATGCTGAGAGGAGCTGATTGGTGCGGCTCAGCTGCCGGAACGAGAATCCTTGAATGGCGACAGGTCAAAGTTGGGCTAATTTAAACGAAAGTTAGCGTGACAGGTGCAACAACTGTCTTGTCACATTACCAGCCCATGCCAGTTTTAAACACCAGCTAACATGGTTCGCCATCATCGCTAGTCAGCATTAGCACACGCTCGGGTGGCGGGCAATTTGAGCCCCCCAATGTTCTCTTTTCTGGAATGCTTTCCGGACAGCGCGGCGTCGCCGCGTCAAATTTGACATACTTGTAGGCAATTGAAAACCGTATGTTATGGCATAAATAAATGAATCGCATCTTGTAAGGTCACTGACCTATGACAAGTGAGTTAGACCGTGGTTGTCAGCAAAGGCCATTTCCAGGGAATCGTTCAATCTGATGCGACGACAGTGTTGGACAAAGCCATGCATGTCTGAAATAGTTTCATGGGCAATGCGCCAATTGAGTTAAGAATGACAACAAATTCTTAGTGACCTAGGGCCAGGTATGAAGGCCACTCCGAGGCCAAAACTAACCTGCCTTTTTGCTCAAAAGTTTTGGGGTAGCTTTTTGTTCTCATTTTGTGTTTATTAAGGACAGAGACCGCAAAATTCCTGTTCCATGTGCTTTTTAAAGGTCAAATGAGGCCACTGACCTAAAATAACCCAGATCAATTTTTTCAGGAACACACCACCTAGCGTACTCCTTGACGCCTCTTTGAATGACAAAATGGGAACATTCTCGTAGGTTATTGGCATCTTGACCTTCTTAATGTAAAAAATCACTAACCCTCATGAAAACAATTGACCTTTGGCTTAGAACTGGGATCTAGGTTTACGGTGGTCATATGAGAAGGTCTGGGGTACTTTAGACAGTTATTTGGAGTTTGACCTTGTTTGACCTTATTCGACCTCTAGGCCACAAATATCGTTCAGATACGGGGAAACTCATCCTGTGAACTTGGTGTTTCTAGCTTTATTAGTTTTTGAGATATCAGAGAGACCAACTGTCCCCCCCCCCCTCCCATCCCACCCGAGCGAAGCGTATCCAACCGGCCATTCGGGTGCGTATTAAACAAGTAAGCGGACACAATATCTAAAGACTGGTTTCAGACCACTCAGCCCGTGGGCAAACAGTATTTGTTTGTCCTGCCTAAAGCGTTGTAAATTTGACCTAAAACAGCTAACCCGGATCTTTTATAGACCTTGGGATCACGTTTCCATCGACATATTTGGGCTGGAAAGTGCAGAATACCACGATGAGCGAATCGATTATGTACAGAATCCGATTCCAATATAGAAAGGAAACGCATCAGTAAAAAATCCTAGTCCCGTGTTCATCAGCTATGCCTGGGGGCATGTCATGCAACGCGCAGCTATGTTCTTTAGGTGAAATGATTATCTCCCGCCAGGGGCATAGTTTTGCAACAGTATTTGGGGAGGAAGGAAGACTCAACAGTGGAAAAATGACGCAGCCTTCCCCGAAATAGCCCAAACCAACGGGTTTCTCCTAAAATTCGACCAGGATCTCAAAGTTGGCGGTCTGGAGCTCAGGAATAGGGGGGGGGGGGGCACCCCTTAACTAAATGGGAAACCTCACCCCGACTCCCGCTATAGTTAGAAAGCTTCAGTCTCAAAGCCTCTTAACGAACGCAGGTTTTAGTTAAGCCATTTTCGGTTGGGTATTATGGACTTATTAGGCGTACATTACGCCCGCGCTGGCAGCAAACCAAAGTACTTAAACACTCTGGAAATCGCAACCCTGTTTACGGCCACCTAGCGCGCCCTCGAGTGGCTCCCCTCCAGTGCCTGCATTAGTTCCACTCATTTTGACACCAGCCTCCGCAGGACAGCAACGTCGACGAGCCGGCGTGGCGTCGGAAGCACGAGCTGTCGGTCCGTTCGCGCGCGACCGAGAGGCCGACGGGCCGCGTTCGTGACCGAGAGGCAGCATCGCTCACGCCGCCACCGTGCCGCAAAACACTCACCTTCTGCTGTCGACGCCCTTGGCGATGCGCGCGCCCTCGGAGATGAGCCGAGCTCGGTCCAGGATATTGAGCACCCTGGTGCCGCTGCGGAGGCGTTCCCTGCGAACGGCGCCAGCGCTCGCGGCAACAGCGCGCCGTCAAATTCGTCCGAACCCTGCGACGCATGGAGCGGAGTTGAAGCGGAGGGGGGGGGGGGAGGCAACACTGCACATCACGTGGACATGCAGGGTTGAGTAGGGGAGCGTCGGATCCCTGTACGGCAATCAGAGAGCGTGCAGTTGGAGTTGATGCAGCTCCTATACAGCGCTACAAGAGGTGGGTTATCATGTTATGATGCAGGCAAACCGGCGCTCCCACGAACGTCTCACTTCCCATGTCAATTGTATTGCAGACAAATCTAAACACCGAATTAAATGAGCTTTTGATCCTCCATCTCATGGTCAGAGATCAGGCACGATGTCTGAGCTATGCGAAGTAGCCGAGGCGATTGTGCGAGAACATCTTCATAACCAAAAATGTGTGCCATTCGACAGGCTCCCATTCCTAGTTTGTTTCAAAATCATAGAGACGTAGCAGCCGGTCAACAAAGTCCGAAATTTAAAAAAGGTAATTAGGGTTTTTAAGCGTCAGCAGCAAGAAAGGAAAATCCTAAGCTTCGATGACCCGAGGATCCACAAAGTTCTTAATTCGCAAGTACTTGCATGTTGATTTCCGACAACTCGACTACGCTGTGTGAATGGTGTGCTTCAACGTGCTAGCAATTTTCTCCTGTGCTCGCCAGCATTTCAATGCCTATCTTTTACGTTGGGCCCTCCGGCCAAAATTTACCGTATTTTCTGCGATCGCTTCTTCTGTCGCTTAGGATCGCAGGCATTCATGACCATGATCCAATCCAAAATCAGTCCGGCAGAAATGTCAAAGGTTTGGAGGACACTTGTTAGTGGTATCCTTGCTGTAATCTTTGCGCAATCAGATTTTCGCTGGCCGATCTTGAAACCTTCCTTGCGTTACAAAAACAGCTGAGCGCTCATTTTCCGTTTCAGGTTTTCTTTGGAGGGGACAATTTTTAACAGGTCCCTTCATTCAACTTTGCTCCCCCCCCCCCCCCCTCCTTACCGAGACTCAGGCTACGTCCCGGAAGGGAACCGACTCTCAGAAGAAAATTCAAGTGAATCTTTTAAAATCAAGTGAGCGGAGTTCAGTGAACTTTATTTTGAAGAGCAGGTCCACATCCACTTGAGATCAGAGGGCCTGGCGACGCGAGTCTGCTCCCCTCCCCCCCCCCTACATCCCCCTTGAGGCATCCCCATGGGGAGGGCCTGGCGACGCGAGTCTGCTCCCCTCCCTCCGCGGCATCCCCTTGGGGTCAGGGGGCCTGGCGACACGAGTCTGCTCCCCTCCCCCCGCTGCATCCCCTTGGGGTCAGGGGCCTGGCGACGCGAGTCTGCTCCCCTCCCCCGCGGCATCCCCTTGGGGTCAGAGGGCCTGGCGACGCGAGTCTGCTCCCCTCCCCGCGGCATCCCCTTGGGTCAGGGGCCTGGCGACGCGAGTCTGCTCCCCTCCCTCCGCGGCATCCCCTTGGGGTCAGGGGCCTGGCGACGCGAGTCTGCTCCCCTCCCCCGCGGCATCCCCTTGGGGTCAGGGGCCTGGCGACACGAGTCTGCTCCCCTCCCCCGCGGCATCCCCTTGGGTCAGAGGGCCTGGCGACGCGAGTCTGCTCCCCTCCCCCGCTGCATCCCCTTGGGGTCAGAGGGCCTGGCGACGCGAGTCTGCTCCCCTCCCCCCGCTGCATCCCCTTGGGGTCAGGGGCCTGGCGACACGAGTCTGCTCCCCTCCCCCGCGGCATCCCCTTGGGGTCAGAGGGCCTGGCGACGCGAGTCTGCTCCCCTCCCTCCGCGGCATCCCCTTGGGGTCAGAGGGCCTGGCGACGCGAGTCTGCTCCCCTCCCCCGCGGCATCCCCTTGGGGTCAGAGGGCCTGGCGACGAGTCTGCTCCCCTCCCCCGCGGCATCCCCTTGGGGTCAGAGGGCCTGGCGACGCGAGTCTGCTCCCCTCCCTCCGCGACATCCCCTTGGGGTCAGGGGGCCTGGCGACGCGAGTCTGCTCCCCTCCCTCCGCGGCATCCCCTTGGGGTCAGGGGGCCTGGCGACGCGAGTCTGCTCCCCCTCCCCCGCTGGCAGCATCTCCGAAGAATTGCTGGATCCGCCACTGTCCGGGGTAAAATGTGCAGGAAAGCACTTCATGTATCGCATTTTCAGGATCCGGTGCAGTCTGCTCTGGCTGGCCTGGATCCAATCCGCCCACCAATCCGCTTTTCTCATCCCTCTCAATCCAATCCGGTTCGGACCGAAAGAAAAAACTCGTCATTTGGGTCTCTTAGAACCCGCTTCCCCATGAAGAACTTTTAAAGTTCTAACAGCGAAGTTGGTTCATCTCGGTATCTTAAATCTAAGGTATTGGTTAATTTTTACCGGAAAAATGTGCAAAAGTTGCCAAAACGAGTGGGTAAGATGCCCAAAACAGCTTGTTACCAGTTGGGAATAAAACTTCTCATGAAATGCTTTGCTTTGCACTTTTGCATTTTTATTTGAGGTGTAAATCGACGACCTTGGGTGACATCATATTCAGCCTCGTTAACTTTCCGGCTTTCTGTGCAGGTTCTTGGAGCTTCTAAATCGTTGTATGAGAATCTTAGGTATACAAACGCATTGCTGGCACCCAATCTGCGGATGGTTTATGAAAGTGGGAGTAAAATAGATGCGACACAAATCATTAAGTACCTACCTAATCCCAAAAGTTTTTGTCTGGATCTTACGAGCATCTAACTCACAGCAAGCAGCCAACTGCTGGGTGAAAAAGCTGGCTTTGGGCCCTGGCTATAGAGGCCAACATGCCCATTCTTTGGGATACATTAATCTGGGAGTGGATAAAAAATCATCCGTCAGGATGCAGCAATCTTTGCTCTGGTAGACACCTATAAATGGATCAGCTAACGTAGCATACTTAAATTAAAACTGGTTCTAAACTAAAAGAACTTGGCTGACTAAGTAAGCAGAACATATGGTGTTGCCATTGAGTTAATCCTTTTTGGTATTTCTCAGAGAAGAGCTGGGATTGCGAAACTGTGCGGTGTCTGCCAACCGAGCATGCCTCGGCCCAGTCGTTCAAATCTGAAATGCAATGTTACCCAGTGAAGTTAAATGGCATTGCTGACAACATCAGGAGGAATGGTAGCTATGCTATGATAACAACAGCTATCAGAGTGCCACTCGCTTATATCAATTTGTCAATGTAATCTGTTCATCAGAAGATTTGCTTGTGGAATATATGGCTAAGTTATGTACTGTGCAGCCTGTTTGTGCATCGTTTGAAACTGAAACTATTTTTCTGTTGGTTTGAAGGTTCTTTTCCGAGTTGACGTCTTCATTGGGAATTTCAGGGACTTTAAATGATGACGTCCATTTGGTTGGCTTTCAATCCATCTAATCCGTGGGAGGCTGGTGGGTTTGGACAGCCGGACCGGTCCTACCTAATGTTTTGGTGCAAACTTTTGGTCCCGTGCAGCCCGGCCGGCGGATTGAGCCAATCCGCGACAAGCTCCAACGTGCAGGTGCGTCCGGGAAGGAATGCCGCTCCTTTATAGCTTGAAGGTAATGAATTATTACGTGTTAGCAACGACGAAGGAGCAAATATTCTCTTATGGCTACCTAAACATGAAATGGGTGTTGCGCTTGGTGAAGTTCTTGAACAAGCTGATGTCTGATTAAAAAAGTTTGTCTTGGATAATTCTGGTTTTCGCATTCAATTAGCATCAGGTAGGTTTGAAGCATCGTGAACCTTCAAAAACACGTAAACATACGAGAACAAGTACTTAACAACTACGTGGCGTCTTGTGTTCAATGAAAAATTTCTACGCCAATTATGCAAGGAATTAATGTTCCAACGACGTGATCAAAATCTTCCTTAAGGCACTGTATTACGTGCGGGCCTTCTGGGATTTAATTTCAAATCAGTAATCATGCAGATGACGCCTTACTAAGTTCCTTTGACCTCAATCTGCGCGCTGATTGGGTGCCGACAGCTTGCCACAGCCAGGAACTCGGTCTTGTTGAACAGAACAACCTCGCCAGCTTGCCGACTTAATTTGTGTTTCTGAGAACGCTTGAGTGGGCTTTAATGAAAAGACTTTCCAGCAATCGTCACTTACAAGATCTGGCGAGCACCAGACGGGGTGTCTCTGGGTGCAGTAACGCTGCGAGGGCTGGAGCTGTCGCTCAGGGTCACACACGGAGGGAGCTAAGCACTGTACGGTCATCTGGACCAGCACAAATTCGGGAAGGCGCAAGGAACATGATTGAACCACATATAGGCAGAAGTTGTCCAAGGTGAGTGCTTTAAGCTTTTGGGTATTCTGCTAACAGCGGCGCAAGAGATGTAGATCTTTAATACTCAGGCTCGTTCATGAGGTGGCGTGCAGCTCTCCTGTCTGTGAAAGTGAGAGGATTCTGCGCATCTTCCCCTGCTGTCCTTGGCAGGAAAGGCAGAGCCCGCCTGCCCAGGAAAGTAAAAGCACCAGAGGGAGGCCTCACCTTGGAGTCGTCCTCAGCGGGGGCTGCGCAGCTCTCCTGTCCTGGGGAGGCGCCGGACACCGTCTCCTCCGGCTCGAGTCCGGTCGTCTCGCGCGCCTCCAGACCGGGCGGCGGCGGCCGCACCTCAGCTCGGTCCTCCTTCAGCCCCAGTCGCTTCATCTCCTGCATCTGCTCCTGGCGGATCTGTGGCAGGTCACGGATGGCGGTGAAGCCTCTGCCGCGTCTGCGCGCTGCTGAGGAACGCCTGGACGGCCGAGGGGGTGCGAATTGAGACGGGCAGCACAGATGATGGGTAATGCGTAGACGACAGTGATATGAACTGAGCATTATCCACAAGCAACAAATTTGCAGCATATTTTGACTGCAAGGACCTCAGGACTTCCAACGAAACTCAGATATATAAGCAAGTGACATTATGTAAAATTACCCCCGAATCAGGCCACTCCTGCATCAGCTGAAATACATCACAATTTTTCGAGCGCATGACACATTAATTATCAAGACATGCAAAGCGGAAGCGTGTTCCAGTGCTCTTGAAACTTATTTGGGGATAAATGACTGGCGCTATCAGTGGTCTCCAAATGGCACGAAGTGTCTCATCACTCACAAGCCGCGGCGCAGAGCGCAGCCCCGGGCAGTGATCCTCAATTTCCGAACTCGTCGGGGCGCTAACTTACAGCTCAAGCGCAGCTCCTCGTCAGTTTGGTTGAGTTACACGCCGGTGCAGACGGTGCAGCACTCTGCTCGGCTCGGACGTAAAGGCGTGAGGGCTTATTGGGTGAGCAGCGCTGCCTGTTTAGCTGGGGTCGCGTGGGTTGCCTTGCTTCTTTTCGTCAGCTTTATATCTTGCATCTGCGTTTATTTTACTCGAGACGCTCTCAATGCCTGGAGTTTTACCGCATAAAAACACATCTAACATCGATATTCTTGGTACATTTCTCTACTGCACCTGGCTGCAGTTCTAAAACAGCGAAATAAAGATCACACATTTACTAATACTTGGCTTCGCAACCAAAAAATAAACCTGTAAAATCAACTTTAGATGTCACCATTCACCTAGCTCGCACCAGCAACTGCTAATATCACGTCTTCCAACATTATCGTTGGACAACAACCCCCAAGGCAACTATGAGCGGCGGATCAAGCCATAAATGATACCATTTTTTCAGAGAAATGACGTTCACTGAGACAAAATCTCTACACCCGATCCCCAAACACGCTCGTAATGCTGTTGAATGCGGGGAGTGAAGCAGATGAAGCGGACTAGAGGCACTCTATCTAATGCAGAAAATCTGATTGGCTCATGTGCTTAATGCAATATGAAATGCACCCTTTCCAACTCTCCAATATCACGGGTGGCAGTTATATACTACCGTAACTCGCTGATAACAAGAACATTAATTATGACCAATGTGTGCCAAACTACGGCTTCGACGACAACGCCACCACGCTGTTCCTGGGTTGGTGAATTAGTTATGTCCGTACCTGACTGCGGGGATTTCAAAACCCATTTGGCACCGCAACATCTAAGAACTGTGCAAACTTGCCGTCCGTCATGCAGGTTTAACAGGCTCGAAGCGATCCCAATCATAGCGAGCCTATCGCTCTGGCGAAAGCAAACCGCAAGCGCGCAAAAATTATCTGTCCACTGCGCTACGGAATCGGCTGGCGGCCTTACCAAATATCCAATGTTTCCAAACTAACCGCCTGTCCCGACCCTTGGCTGTGCCCTGAAAGCGCATTGATCTCAGTCCGCGCTTAAACAGCGGCCTCTCTGACAGGCCTAAACTCGGCGCCACTCTATTTGTTAGCTCGGTAAACAGACGACTGCTGCGGGCGCTTCCACACAGCTGGAGGTCGATCAGGCTTCACCGGGGGCGGGGCTCGACTGTAGGCGCCGTCCAACTCGGCAATCCGGGACCAGCTACAGCAACCGCCTGTTTCAAGCTGTTTGACTTCCATACAGCTGGAGACGACCAGGGTTCACCAAGGGCGGGGCTCGACTGTAGGCGCCCTCCAACTCGGCAATTGGGGACCAGCCACAACAACCATCTGGTTCGAGCCGCTTCGAAGCCATGCCGTGTCAGCATACGCTGCAAAGGCTGCTGCTGCTGAGAAGCCGCTGTAGTAATCGAAAGGTCCCGGGTCCACCATGAACCACTGTATGCTTGCCTGGTGCTGCAGATCAACCGGCGCGGCAAGCGCGGCGGCCTGTCAATTTTAGCAGTTATCCAACCCTTGGTTACCCGACCCATGCTTGGTTACCCGATCCGTGCTTGGTTACCCGACCCGTGTTTGGTTACCTGATCCGTGATGGGTTACCCGACCCGTGCCTAGTTACCTGATCCGTGCTGGGTTACCCGATCCGTGTTTGGTTACTCGACCCGTGCTTGGTTACGCGATCCGTGCTTGGTTACCCGACCCGTGTTTGGTTCCGAACGCAGTCAAAGTTGACTTCAGAATCAATATCTCGCAGTCTACGAGGAATGTATTGGATTGGATTAAGTGGATTTGATTTGACTGAATGGGTTGCAATGCTATGAAAGGTAAGCATGTGAATGCTTCTATATAACCGGGTTATCTTCTATGCTGCTGTCCCCGGATTTGAATCTTTGAAGTCGATTCGGGAACTGACCGTTCCTCCGAGTCGGAGTCGAAATCGACTCATAACTGTGCTGTGCCGCCCGGGGCAGAAACCAAAATTCGACCTGAGTCGCCGTGGGTCGCAATCGACTCCAAGAAGCGGAACCGCTCGACACCGCCCAATACATCGAGTCTGATATTAACTCCAGGTCGCATGTACGCTGGTTCCGCTCTTGCACTACTAGTTCGACCCCCAGGGCAAGCGACAAGAAGTATCTCTATGATATCCATGACCTGTATTTGACAGACGCTTGGCAAGATTTCTCTACGAATGACCCAAGCTCACGATAAAGCGGAGGCAATCAGAGATAATTCCCTGCCACGCCTAGGCATGTCTGTAATTCCACCCCAACATCTGAGATATGATTCGCACGTACTCTCCAACTGTGGTCAGGGTGTGCTCTCCACACGCCGCTGTCCCAGCCGTCTGTCAACCGCAGCTGACAAGCCCACCTCCGACACCATCGTTGGAGTCCCGTCCTGCGCGCGACCCAAGGAGTGATCCTGGCGAGCCGCACGCATCGATGTCCGATATACAGCGCCGTCACGCCGGGGCCGAACAAACAGCGCCAGACAAAGCGGAGGCGTGCAGTTAGCCGGCGGTGGCGCTCGGTCGCCAGCACCCTCCCTTGTGCCGCCCGGTCGGGTTCAATGGGCCGCTGACGGCCGATAACCGGCCCAGCGGACCCACCTGGCCCGCCGCCAGCCAGCGACGCCCGCCACCGATCCGGCCTGGGCGGCGTGGTGCACCTGGTACGACCGCGTCTGGGAGGAGTGCACTGGTCCGACCGCGTCTGGGAGGAGTGCACTTGGTCCGG